AGTGGGTGGGGGGGGTGTAACGAACCATGGTTCTAGCCATGTCTCGTCACAAACGGCGGAGGGTCAGCGCATCCACGCTGGCCGGAGACAATAATCAAACTGATATACACAGAGCTAACGAACCATGGCTCTAGCCACGGTTCTCCACAAATAGCGGTGTGTCAGCAACTCCGGAAATAAAGTAGTCTTAAGCAACGCTCACAATTAATTAAGAACTCTCGATCAACAACTCTATACATTCTTGTCCACACAACACTTTAAAACACCCACCTGTCCCACCTCTTGGGACATTTCGCAATCGACGGCCTACATAAGAAATAGCATTTGCGTTATTTCACAATAAGTCAAGCCAGCATAAAATTATCGACTTACCACTCAACTTCAGCGATGCAGAGTTTGCGAAACCCCATTTTTTAAACCAAATACCCAATTCCCAACTGCACCTTCCGGGATTCAGCCTCAGCAAAACCACCCTGACCCACTAAAAATTGTCAACGAAGCACCAAGCTTCGACCTAGTTACCACACCCAACAATTATTGTTATCCAATAACCCTAAGTCAGCAAGAATTAATTATTTCCGGGTCTCAAGTGCGATTTCCAGCTGCATAAAAGGGCCAAGATCGGTCGAAAGAGCAGGCAGTCCATCGGCCCGAATACAAGACACAGGCAGTCAACCCGAATACAAGACACAGGCAGTCCATCAGCCCGAAATAACGCACAAGACACTGTACGAGGCAGTCCATCAGCCCGAACACAAGACACTGCACTAGGCAGTCCATCAGCCCGAACACAAGACACTGCACTAGGCAGTCCCTCAGTCACACACCCAAGACACCCTAGACAGTCACACACCCAAGAAACCCTAGACACGCAGTCCACCAGCGCACCATTCAACTACGAGTCAGAGTAGCAACGTAAAAGAATTAAAGTGAATAAACAAAATAAACAAAGAACAACCAGAAGAAAAACTCTCGCATCATCATATCTCGCTTGCCTACTGCATTCAAGCCAGCCCGACACCTGAAGTCACCTACAATCTACAAATTTTCTGTAGCGGACCTCGGACAGACTGATGCATACCTCAGCCTGAAATAGGACCTCACAGTATATAGAGGTATGTTTCAAGTGGAAATTAGTGGGAAACAACAAAAAATAATGTAACGAACCATGGTTCTAGCCATGGCTCGTCACAAACGGCGGAGGGTCAGCGCATCCACGCTAGTCGGCAACAATAATCGAACTGATATACACAGAGCGAACGAACCACGGTTCTTCACAAAAAAGCGGTGCGTCAGCACATCCGGAAAATAAAATAGTCTTAAGCAACGCACGCAATTACTAAAATTAAGAATTCTCGATCAACAACTCTACCCATTCTGCATTATTTCGCAATCAGCGAAAAAAACAGCACGATATTGGCGATATTTCGCAACCACTCGGCCTCGGAACATTGACCGAAATTCAGAAAAACCCAAGTCCCAACTGCACCCCGCACCTACTGCGATGCAGCCTCTGCTAAAAACACTCTCATCAAAACACACTGACCCTGACACTAAGCAACTGTCAATGAAGCACTAAGCTCCGACCCACTTCCCCCGCCCCACAATTATTGTTACCCATAAGTTAGCAATAAGCAATTATTTCCGGGTCTCAGGTGCGATCGCCAGATACATAAAAGGGCCAAGATCGGCCGAAAGAGCAGGCTGTCCATCAGCCCGAACACAAGACACTGCACTAGGCAGACCACACTACGCAGTCCAACAGGGCACCACACAGTCAATCAACAAGTCTCAAACGTAAACAATTAAGTGAATGAAAGAGTAAAGAATAAACCAAGAATCACAAAAGCAAAAACCACTGCATCATCATATCTTCCCTTGCCTACTGCATTTCAAGGCCAGCTCAAACCTGAAGTTCTCCAACAATCTACAAATTTAGATGAGGCGGACCCTGGACACACTGATGCATATCCCAGCCTGAAATAAGAGCCTTACAACAACAACAAAAAACAACAAAAACATATTCTCAAAGGTGGACTTTTAGCCTGAAGCGAGTGCGCTATTAACGGATACTCTTAGCAGTCGAACGGAAGGAACTTCACAATTTCTATGGTGCCAGTGCCACGGGTAAGTGGAAGGAAGTCCAACAGAAAAAAAAGAAGAAATTTCTAGGGGTGGGACAGATAAGAATTTAAAGAAAAAAATATTTTTTATTTCCATCCAGGTTTGGCACCCAATTTAGAGTTTTACTCATGCAAAGGGCAGCGACAAGCAGATAAATATCAGCAATGCATCCGATCAAGAGAGGAATGTAAAGCTGCGGGGAAACAAAAACCAGGGGAACGGCCATCGAGAGCGAGTTCGAAAATTCGAGCTAGGCAGAGGGGCTCCAAAGAGTGGGACAGACGGCAGCGTGGAGCCGCAACGATCTTTTTCGTGGCTACGACGGGGCAAAATAGTGAATATTTTATGATTTAAGCATAAATTAAAAGAAAGATCCTCTCGTGTAAAAAGTGTGAAAGTGTAAATAATTGTTCAGTGAGAGAAGAGAGGAAGAGAGAAAACAAATTTTCCTAACCTAATAGGGGCAAGAGAGCTCCAGATTAACGGGTTACTTTCTCGCTCACATTAAGTTTGGGAATATAACAACCCCAATGTTCAAAAACCTTTAAAAGATTAGTTTATCAGAAGTTTTAAATGGAAATTGCAACGTAAGAAAAAGGTTTTGTGTCCCACGGTGCCACCGAGCGCATATAGTGAGAGAGAGCATTTCGAATTTTTGGTATACGAGGGGAGCTGAAAGAGGAGAAGGAAAAAGTGCGAAGAGAGAACGCGAAATTAAGAATTTTAGTGCATTAGATTACGGTAAACATTTAAGTGCACTAGTTTCTTTAGTTTTTTTATTTATTTTTTTTGTGTTTCTGAGTTAGAGGTTGACGCCGACTGTGTTAGCTTCGGCGGCGGCGGCTTAGCCTACGAACTAGTCGGCGGCGGCGGCGGCGTAAGCAATAAATAAATAACACTTTTCTTTTTTAACTTAAAAAAATATCACTTCATGTGTTTATTAAATATTCAAAAAAATTAAAATAACAACAAATTAACAGTAGTCCTTCATGGACTTTCCTTACTAATATAAAAATTTAAGTCTTCATTTATATTTGACATCTGAATTGAGATCTAAATTTCTTTTTGCAAAGTTAAAAAAAAATAATAAATTAAGATAAGTTTTCTTTGCAATGATCATAGTTGTCATGAATGAAAACAATTTTATTTACGTTGTGAGGACTGAGCTGCGACCGTTTATGTGTTATTGTTAGACCTGCTATAGAAAAGACTCGCTCACTGGGTGTGCATGTTGCTGGAATACACAGAACTTTTCTTGCTAGCATAGATAATAAGGGCATTGCAGATGCCTTTTCCCTCCATAAACTTAAAACGTCTTGGCATGAAGACAAACTTAAAAGTAGATGGCATTCAGCTTCCAAATTGCTATTTTTGGTATTTGTAGAATGTCGCTGAGCAAGCTTTAATATTTTGCTTACAGATGGAGATTCACTTAAACTATCCTGCTGATCGCTAGCTTGTTGTACATCGCCAATCAGCTCTTTAAACATTTTTAGCAAAAAATCAGATTTTGTTAAATTTTGGTCTTTACAGTACTCTTAACACACAATCTAGTGAGCTAAATCGCGGATCTAGTAAGGATGCGCAGACTAGAATATCTGATATTGGGAATCTCGAATCCAATTTACTCTTTATATTATTTTTCATTTCAAACAAAGAAAGCGGTTCATTGCTCTCAGCTTCACCCAAAATTGAGACGATCTCTCTTCTGATAACTAACGCAAGGCTTATGGATGAATACAAATCTCCAGACAGAATATTTACTGCGTCTTTAAATTTTTGCAAGAAGTCACGAAGTTTATAAAAAAGCTGTACTTCAGTCTCTAAATCAATCTTGTTGCTGCTAGTGAGCAATTTATTTATTGCAGCTCTTTGGCACCCAAGACTGTGAAGCATGGCTAAAACGCTGTGCCACCTAGTTGGGACCGAGTTTTTAAGAGAAACATTCCTCTTGTCCACCATACTATTGCGCAAGTCATTAGTGTTGTTAATGTTTTTATAAGTTTGCAAGGGAACATCATCCAACGGTCCAAAATCATCATCGTAGTCAACCCATTCAGTGTCTTCGGATACAAGCAGCTCTTCTAAATTGTCGATATTTGACAAAACTTCATTTTGAAACATGTGTCTTAAATCGTAAAGCTCTCACAATACTTTTGCACTTCACAATTAAGTTTTTAATTTCCGACACGGAATTGTAGCCATCTACATTTAGCAAATTGTGTAGTCCATGTCCAAGGCAGAAATGGTTGTTTAAACACCCCAAATTAATAGCTTTTTTGATATTGCTACCTTGGTCGGTTACGACGAAATTAGATTCCATTTGCAAGTTATAAATTTGAGTTACATCTTGAAGCTCTGTTAAAATATTACTTGCGGAGTGAGATTTTGACAAGTATTTTGTTTCCAGCGTGAAATGCTTCATACCAAAATTCGGTGACAGATAATGGAATGTAAATGTGATATAACTTCTTCTTCTATAATTGTCCGTCCACAAATCAAAGGTTAAGGCAAAGTGTTTTTGTCCAGATACTATCCGTGTAACTACTTTTAAAACGCATTCATACACATCGTCTAGTGCAGTTGTTGAAAGTGTTTTGTAATGTGGAATATCATCAGCAGTTACCACAACTTTATATTTGGTTAAGAAGTCTTTGATTCCATTGTGGCTAATTGTATGAAATGGGAGCAGATCTCTAGCCATCCACAAAGCTAGCTCTCGTCCCAGCGCCCATTTACTATCTCTTAGAGACCTTATTGGCGTGGATTTGTTGAAAAAATTTGATATCGTTCCACCTGTAGCTAATGAAGTACTAGAATCGATATCGCGAACATTGTGTTCGTTTTTAAGGTGACGAGTTACGTTCCCTGTTGAACAGTTCTTGGAATACGACTGAATTTTAGCACTGAAACAATTGTCAAACACTTATATTGAACTTAAAAAAGTGAAATTAATTATTACCATGACAATATTATTGTTTCGTCGTTCTTTTTCTGCTCATCCAAACATAATTTACAAAAAACCTTGTCCTCTTCAATGCATTTGCTTTCGGTTGTCGTTGTCACTTGCAAGATGCCAAAAAAACTCCCATACTTTGCTTTTGCGATTTGCATTACGCAGAATTTTTATTGAGTACATCCCCAATGACTTATCCATCTGTTTGTTGTGAGAATATTGAACTAATTTATTTCTAATACCAATAATAATATTGTGAAACTTACTTTAAGAAATTATTTATGCACATAACAAACCAAGTAAACAACACATGAACTACAGCTGTTCTAGAGATGGAACAGGCAGATGGGAGACGACTCTTTTGCAACTTTATACGATATATTTCAAATTTTTTAATTTTTTTTTATTTGTGTAATGTCCTATTTCAGGCTGAGGTATGCATCAGTCTGTCCAGGGTCCTGAATTACAAGATAATTATAATTCACGAGGACTTTATCGGGAAACCAGGAACTTTGCCAGAAAACTGAAATAGAAATCACAACACTTTTTTTTTGTTCTTTTAATTTTCAATGGTTTTCTTTATTCTTCCGTATTCTTCCGTATGATTATTCTACCCGGTTATGTTATGTTTACTTGCACTACGACGCGGATGTTGATTTGACTGCCTCTCGCGATGGCTGATTGACTGCCTCCGACGATGGCTGGTGGACTGCCTCCGACGATGGCTGGTGGACTGCCTCCGACGATGGCTGGTGGACTGCCTCCGACGATGGCTGGTGGACTGCCCTTTTCTTCATGCAAGGCAGTGCCTTTTATAGATCGGCCGGCCTTCGATTTTCCCATGAATGTCTTACAGATATCTTATTTCTACTCCAGAATGTGGGAAGGGTTCTTACATAAATATATATTGCCGAATTATAGTCTGCGCGTACAGACGGGCTGATCGGTAACAGAAGGTTACCTAATCATTAGCCCTGCAGTCAGTGTCCAATATCCCCGGTAAGGAGAGTCGGAGACTGCTGACTGGCTTGCGCATGTGGGGGTTTTGCCCGGTAATCGAGGGTTACCTAAGCAATCGCCTCCCAACAAGTGTCCAATGTCCCAGGTAAGGTGATCGGTGTGCACCGGTACCGTGGGAAAGGAATTTCGTTGGCACTTCGGGAATATATATTGTTAGGAATATTTATTTATTTAATATTATTTTAGGTACTTATTGCGTAAGCCCCTTTTGCTGGTCTCCTGTCTTTTGGCGTGTGCTGAGTTTGCATTTTTGCTGGGTGTTGATCGCTTCACCTGGGAGTAGCGTTGGCTGCGTCATCTGCTTGTGACGAACCATGGGATCCATGGGATCCATGGTTCGTTACACCCCACCCTTTCTTCCGGGTGGGTGATGGAGAGATTTGTGGCGTCGCTTGGCGGGTGCTGGGGTTCGCCTTTTTCCGGGTTATCCTGTCCTTTGGCTTGTGCCGAGTCTCCGGATTCGTCGCTGTTAATCTCGTCATTTTAGCGTGGCGTCGGTAACGTTATATTTTCTACTGCTGTTGTGATCGTGGCCTTTCTGCTGTTCTGGGTGCTTTGTAGTTGGTGTAGTAGGTGCTTGGTGGGTCGAATTTCCCATATGACGATGGTTTTCTCGGCAGTTTTCTTTGGTAGTTAATTGTCCAGGCATTCTCGAATCTGCGGTGCTATGTCGGGTGGCCAAGGATCCGTCGGTAGTTCTGGGTCGTCTTCGGTGGGTTCGGTGGCTTCGGGGGCAAATGTTTGATTCGGGTTTTTCGGAAGGATGGGTTTGTCAAATGTGCTTGACGGATCGATGCTCCGGTGGTAATCGCTTATGTGGGCGATGATCGGGGAGGCGTTGGACGTGGGTAGAGTTGTTTTGTAGCTCTGGCGGAACACTTGGGTGGTATTGTGTCCAGACTGGTGGATGAACTGGCTGGTCTCGACGATGTCTCTTTTGTTGGACCAATGGCTTGTTTGGGCGACGGATGCTTGGGTCTGTGGGGCCAAGTCCGGCGGCCACGGCTCCGGGACTGGTTCGGGCTCATGTTCGGTTCGATCGGCGGCTTTGGAGTCAAATGGCTGGCTGGGGTCTTCGGGTAAGAGGGTTGTGTCGAAGGAGCTGTGCGTTTCGATCCTCCGTTGGTAGTCGCTTATGTGGGCGACGATGGGTGTGGTGTCGACCATGGGTATGATGTTTTGGCACGCCGGGTGTAGTACTCATGTTATACTACAGCCAGACAGGTACGTGAACAGGTGAGTCGCGATGACGCCTCTGGTATCACAACAACGACTTGTATGGGCGACGAAGATCTCGGACATGGCTCTAGGCATGGCTCGGTGCATGACGCTAAAAATCATGTCAGTACGCGGAAGGTACTCCATTGTGTGGGCGAGGATCGGTGTGGCGTCGGCCGTGGGTACGACAGGGCTGCGGTCGGTGTATCGTGGGGCCATCGTACTGGTTTCCGGGCCCGCGTTGAGGGGCTCTGTGGATATCAGTTCAATTATGGGCCCCGACCAGGGTGGGGTCAGCGTGGCTGTTTCCCTTGTTGCTTGGCTGTTGATCTGTTGCTGCCGTTGTCGGTGTCGATTTTGTTGTCTTGGTTCAGGGCTGATTGTCGTCTCTGAGGGTGTTTCTATGTTCACTTTCTCCTGGGAGGAGAGGGTACTTACATGCTCTGTTGCTGGACTTGGACCTGGGCTTCCTGTGTCGAGCGCCGGGTTCCAGTGCGTTAGTGCTTGTCTCGTGGGTGAGATTCTCGTAGTTTCTTTGGGGTATGTGTCCCCTGTGGTTGGCCTAGGACGCGGTTGCTCCGTAGTGACCGTGGGACTCGTTTTCCCGTTTGCTTGATTGTTGTTTCGTGTTGTTGGTTTCGGCTTCATGTTCGTGGGCCGGCGCTTTGCCTCTGCTGGGGCTGGGCTGGGTGTCGTGTTCTTCGTGGCGATCTGGGTCGTTTTGTTCGTTGGGGTAGGTCGTGGTCGTGTGTTCGCTGAGGTTTGTATGGGTGTCATGTTGGCGTGGCTGGGTGCCGAAATTGTTGGGATAGGTTGCGGACGTATGACGGCCGCCGTTGGCTTCAGTTTCTGGTGTGGGGTTCGTGGCCTTGTACTCTGTTGGTCGGAACGGTGTGGATATGTGGTGTGTGGCACTGATCTCGTAATTGTAGAAGTGTGGTACCGCACTGGATCGTTGTTTCAATGGCGCATAGGAAGTCCATGCCGACGATAACTTGATCCAACATGTTTGGTAGGACCAGGAGGGGTATTTGAACTTCTCTTTGATCCAGTCTGATGTGCGCCAGTAGAATCTGGGTGATCTCTCTGACCGAGCCGTCGGCCAGGCGTATGCGGACGCATGCATCTTGGAGGTTGGTGTTGTTGTCTAGTTGTCGGGCGAGGTTTGCACTGATAAAGCTTCGGGATGCCCCTGTGTCGACGGTGGCTTCCGTTGCCTGTCCTCGTATGGTTACCATTGGTCCGGGTGCCGCGCTTGCCACATTCCCAACAGAACAGGATCGAGGGATTTTGGCATTCATATGCCGCATGCCCTGCTTCGCCACACCGGCGACAGGCTTCGCGTGGGTTGGCGATGGGGGTCGTAATCATGCGATGTGCTACCTCGGGCTTTGTCGTACTCACTGGGTTGGATGGCTGTCTTCTTGGTGAGTCTGCCGAGTTCCAATGAGGCTTCCGGAATGGTGTCCGATTGGAATCGTCGCTCCTCTGATCTGTCGTAGGCCGTGCGTATCTGGGCGTGTGTCGTGGTGGTGCGAGAGTGCTCGGGATGGTCCGCTCTTGAATACTCTCAAACTCTGTGGCCAGCAGTGTTAGCTGTGACAAGTCCTGCAGTTCGTGGCGGCGCACGTACATCTGGTAGGCTGGGAGGGCGTTGTCGTAGATCCTGGTTAGCTCCTTGGTTGCGTCGTACCCAGCGTGGTGCATAAGTAGACGTATCTCGATGAGGAAATCTTTGAACAGTTCCCCAGCCAATTGCTTTCGGGCTCGGATCCGGTCTTCCAATTGTTCAAAATACCGTGGTGGCAAGAAGAACGTTAAGAATTCCTGGCGGAAATTTTCCCATGAGGAACTTTGTAGGCGGCTGGTGCGGAACCAACGACTGGCACGGTCTGTGAGAAGTTCGGCCATGGCCCGCGGCAGATGGTTTGTGTCCACCCCATACGAGAGCGCGCGTTCTTCGAGCAGTTCGATGAATGATAGAGGGTTATCTTGGCCGTCAAACTGGATTCCCCACTTTCGGATGCGTTCCGCCATTGGTGCAGCGTGGTTGTAGTGGTGCCCTTCCATGGGTCGGTCGATCGCTGGCAAGATCCTTGGCACGGGTGCTGGGTGGGTCTCTGTAGCTAGGGGCCTTGGAAACGGGGCAGCAGGAGTGCGGTATTCGGTGGCTGCGGGGACTCGTAGTCCAGTCTTAGGATCCATTTGGAGAGTGTCGGATGGTCCAGGAGTAGTGGGCCGTGGTGACTTGGAACGAGAGCGTGAGGCTGGCTTGGCATAGTGCCTCTCGAACTCTCCTAGGCGGACCCAGGCTTCTTGCGCGAGTGGCCCGGCGACTAGAGCGGCAAATTTCCTTCGGCGTTCATCGACCGTTCCTTCGCTGCCGAATCCGAATTCTTCGGCGAGGACTTCTAGTTCGTCCCGACGGAGTTTGTGGATCCAGCCGGTGCTGACCCCTGGATTGGGGAGGAGGTATGCCTCCTCTGGTTGTTCATCGTCGTGATGTTCCATGTTGATTTCTGTTGATTTTTGGCACTGAGTCACTGTTAAACGGCACTTTTAGGATCGGCACTGCGTATACTTTCGCGTTTGTTTTCGCGCCCGGATTATGTAAGTGCGCGGACTTGTTATCGATTCAATTTCCTTTTTGATGGCAGTGGGTCTTTAATCCACGAAGTCCCTGATTTCGGTTTTCTTGAAGTTTCCACGAAAAATCCTTTAAAGTCCCTGCTCGGGCGCCAGTTGTAATGTCCTATTTCAGGCTGAGGTATGCATCAGTCTCTAGGGTCCTGAATTACAAGATAATTATAATTCACGAGGACTTTATCGGGAAACCAGGAACTTTGCCAGAAAACTGAAATAGAAATCACAACACTTTTTTTTGTTCTTTTAATTTTCAATGGTTTTCTTTATTCTTCCGTATTCTTCCGTATGATTATTCTACCCGGTTATGTTATGTTTACTTGCACTACGACGCGGATGTTGATTTGACTGCCTCTCGCGATGGCTGATTGACTGCCTCCGACGATGGCTGGTGGACTGCCTCCGACGATGGCTGGTGGACTGCCTCCGACGATGGCTGGTGGACTGCCCTTTTCTTCATGCAAGGCAGTG